CTCTCTCTCTCTCTCTCTCTCTCTCTTCTCTCTCTCTCTCTCTCTCTTCTCTCTCTCTCTCTCTCTCTCTTTTGGTTACCCCTTATTCTACTTCTGTCTATATTTGTCTCACAAATCTCTGCCTCCCTCCTCCCTCCCCCTCCCTCCTTCTTTCGTCTCCGTCTCTCCCTCTTTCTCTCCTCCTCCCTCTCTCCCCTTCATCCCCATCCTCCATCCTCCCCGCCCCCCCCGTATCTCCCATTCCAACCCCACCCCTAAACCCCTTCCCCACACCAACCAAACTCCTACCTTCTCCCAATTCCCCCTTTCCCTCTCTCCCCCCATCCCCACCCCCACCTCCTAACCCCCACATCCCTTCCTACCCCCTTCCCTTCCTCCTCCCCACCCCCACTCCCAAACCCCCACACACCCTCCTTCAACGCCCTTCCCATCCTCCCTCCCTCCCACCCCTTCTTCTCCCTCCCCCCACCTCCGCCCCCCCAACCCACCCCAAGCGGACGTCGCGCCGGGTGCCTAGAATTGTCGCCTCTCCTCCAAGGATTCTTGCCTTTAAATGAAGCCTTATGGTTCCCCCGAAGTCTGTTAGTAACAACGATCCCCCCACGGGACAGATCGACCACAGCCGACTCCGGCGTCCGTAATGCTACCAGTTGTTGCGTCTGAGTGTTCACTAGTGTCAGCACTAGTCGTGTGGGATAGTCACGGGCAGTGAGTGGTAGTGCGACGGACTCAGCAGGTTGCGGCTGTGACTGACGTAGTGGTGGGGCGCGGGTATCTTGAAGTGTGCATAGTCCTGCGGGTTCGAAAGTTCGTTGCTGTATCGGGCGGTGAGAGAGAGAGAGAGGGAGAGAATAGTGTAGGAATAACGGAGGGAGAGGAGTGGAGGGAGTGGGAGGGAAGGAGAGGGAAGTGGAGGGGATGGAGGGGAGGGGAGGAGGAGGGAGGGAGGGGAGGGAGGGAGACGAGAGAAGAGAGAGAGAGAGAGAGATGACGAGAGAGAGATGGTAAGAGAGAGAAGAGAGAGAGAGAGAGAGGCAGAGAGAGGAGAGAGAGAGAGAGAATGAGGAAGAGGAGAGAAAAAAACAGAAAGACCAGAAAGAAGAAGAAAGAAAGAAGAAAGAAAAGAAGACGAGAGAGAAAGAAAGAGAAAGGAAGGAGAGAGAGGAGGAGAGAGAGAGAAAGAAAGAGAGAAAGAGAGAGAAGAAAGAAAAGAGGAGACGAATGAGAAGCGTAAACCAGACCTGCAAACCCCGAGGAAAAACACATTCATCATCTCATTAACCAAAACGAACAAAAAAAATGTGGATAAGAAGAAAAAAAAAAGAAAACAGTAAACAGTCAAGCAAAAGAGAGAGAAAAAAATAACGAATAAAAATAGTGAAAACATAGAACTTTGAAAAAAAGAAAAAAAAAAAAAAAAACATCTTTCTTTCAGCATTCTACTTGGGGAAGAGAGGGGGAGGGGGAGGGAGAAGGGGGGGGTAGACGTGTGAGAGAGGATTGGTGGGGGGGAGGGGTGAGGGGAGAGGGATAAAGTAACCCTAATCTCCCTTCCTTCCATTCCCGTTTTATTTTTAATTTTTCGTTCTTTCTTTCTCGTTGTCTTCTCTCCCACCCTTCTCTTTCCTCTTCCAACACGGAATATAACCAATTTTCTTCCTTCATCTCTATCCCCTCCCTCTTTTCTCCTCTTTCACGTTCACTTCCTTCTTCCAACGTCCCAATACCTTCAATCATTTCTTCTCCCCTTCTCCCCCCTAACCCCCACCCTAGACATTCACCCTCCCCCCCCCTACACCTTAACCGGCTGTTTATATTATTCCATAAATATATTCTTGTCATCTCTCTTTATTTATATTTTTTACTCTATACCCTTAACTATACTCTTAATCTCCGCCTCATCTATCCTTATTATATCGCCTATATGTCGAGTTAACCATAACTGTTAACTGATCTTTTGTTAAATCTTGCTACATGTTCTTATACCTACTTTTCTCTCTCCTTCATCTCTTACTCTCTCACTAATCTCATTTATATCCATTCTCATCTCTCTCTCTACTTACTCTCTTCATCTCTCTCTCTCTCTCTCTTACCATCTCTCTCTCTCTCTCTCTCTCTCTTCCCTCTCCCTTTCCATCTTTCTATCCATTCTATCATTATTATAAATTAGTAGCTTTTCTCTTATCTATTTATTGTTTCTCTCCCTCTATTACTACCTCACTATATAATATTTTATCCTTCATTATACATACTATATATACCACTATATATACATATATATGTATACATATATCAATTATCATCTATATATACCATTACTATATTTACTATACATTATTCGCGTATTACATACATACTATATATATAATATAACAAGTATATATATACATATATATACATTATATATATATTCATTGTTATATATACTATATATATATACGTATCAGCTATATATTTTTCATATTTAACTTTCGTCTCTCTCTCTCTTACTCTCTCTTACTTCATTCTCACTTCATGTACATTCTCTCTCTACTCTCTCTCTCTCTCATCTCTCTCTCTCTTCTCTCTCATCTCTTCTCTCTTTCTACTAATTGTTTTGCCATTCCGATCCTATCTCGCTTCTACCCGCTTAAATTCTCCTTCCGGTTTCCTTATGTTAACTTCTCTATTTCGTTACCCCTTTTATTTCTCCTATACCCCTTCCCCTATACCTAACCCCTTTTCTCCTTACTTACTCTCATTACTCCTTTAACCTCCTCTTACCTTGACACCATCTTCAAGTACGTTTTCAAAAGACATGATCACTCGACCTTAGTGCACTAAGGAAAGGGTTATTGATACTTACATCTAAGCACTTCCCTTCTCCAATCCATTCCATCCCTTCTACCTCCACTTTAACCTATCATTATCCCTCCTCCTCCTCTCTTTCTGAATTTTTTTCTTATTTGCTCTTATTTGCTTTCTTTCATTATTTGTTGTTTCTTCTCACAAATCTCTCAATCTTCTCTCTTCTACACATACTACAAACTAACACACACTGCTTAAACGGATTCTCTCTCACGAGCATCAACACCAACGCAAGCTCAATAGCTCAACGCACGCCACATTACAAGATAACGCACCCACGTAGCTGCGCAGCGCCACGTCTTGCCGAATCATTCTAATTGACGTCAAACTGAAAACTTACTTTGTTATTTGGACCCTTAGTAGGCCAATTGAATCTTTCAAACTTCACACCTTGCCCCCCTACTCCAAACCCTCCCCCCACCCTCCCTTTATATCTCTCCATCACCCCCATTCCCCTTCAATAATAACTCTCCCCGGATGAACCCCATCACACTAGTCACCAGGTCCTCTCCTATTCATCTGTATCACCATAAAACCAACCTTACTTCCTTATCCCGGACTACCTCACAACCCACCAATACGTACCCTATAATATCTTCCCCCCACAACCCCACTCATCCTCATTTTCTTCTCCATACTACCACCCCCTTCCTTCAACCTTCCCTCACTACCCTAATCACCCCCAATAACCCCCCACCCGTATCTCTCACGGCTCACCTCTCAACTAACCTAACCTCATAATATTAAGCACCTACCAGCGGTAAAATACATCATAAAACCACTCTATGAGGATTAAAATCCAGTTGCTCACTTGTTTGAATAAAAAACGAAAATAACAAAAAGAAATAAAATAATAAAGAAATAAAAACAATTATATCTCCACAGAGAATATGAATGAACTTCTGCCTCACAACAAAGACCTGAGATTCACGGACTCAATCAGTCTAGGATTACGCGCTGTATATCTAGTCGCACAGCTGTTAATATGTCAGATCAATTCTCAGGGTGCGCACACCAGTTCACGGCGGCCCTTGGAAGCCTTCGACTTGAAATGCTGGATATTTTACCGCTGATCCACTTTTAAGGGACCCTCCCGTTTCTCAATTGTGAGCACTCTCTGTTTTGTTTGTCTTTGATCTTTTTCTCTGTATATATTATAGGTCCGTCGGAGACGTGTCGTAGTTTACGATCTCGTTAGTTAGTTGGTAGTCAGTCAGTCTCCTTCATACTAACTCCCATCACTCTTCTACTATCATCTCTCTCATCCACTAACCCCCAATGAGAGATTACGTTAACATTCATAGGGCATAATAATAATGAAGAGTGAAGTATATACTCACTCCAAAACTCTTTCACGGTCCCTTGGAAGCCTAAGTGCTCAGACGAGGTGATGAATGGGACCGCTGGCCTCCGCGACGGGCCCCTAATCGCCCACGCCTCACGGCGGCCGCTACCTAGGAATTCGCCTCTCAGCCCGGCTCAAAGCGGACGTTCGCTTAGCTCAGCCGTATAACGGTCGTCCGCGTGATCTGGTGCCAGAGCATTGTCTTTAGGGTCTTACTTATTCCACTCTCCCTCCTGCCCTCTTATTCTTTTCAGACTACTTATATTCACCTATCGCTATCCTCTTCCCCCGTATATTACCTCTTTGAGGTGACGGCAGAACTTCCTCCGCGTGTTTCTCTCGGAGTAGGTTTAATAGAAGGGAACTGCGACGGCGGTTCCCCTTTCCCGCGGGTTGGGAGTTCACTGGCCCACACGCCTCGCGGCGTTCGAATAGGTAAGGTGTGTCCCCGCCGGTGCCTTTCGTCGTCCATTCGGGTGATGCCTGACCGCCCGACCTCTAGCTACCTACTCCACACGGGCTTATCCGTCAGCCTATAACTGATCTAGAGGCGCCAACAACTCTGGTTCGTAGCTAGTCCGGAGGTTGGTATATCGCAGCATAAAGGCTCCTCCTATATGATACACTATATATATATACATATATTATAACATATTGTAGTGTGCTTCGGAGGTAGGTAACTGCCTAGCCTGATAGGTATATTGTCGTTCTAATCTATGGAAGGTTGACTTTACTGGTAAACATTAGTCTCAAGTCACCTGGGGAGAAGAGTGGGGAGGCGGTGGGGAGCGGTGAGTTAACAGATAGGAGGCCAGCGGGGCGTCATGGGGGACTCCTCTGCCGGCGGAGAGTCCACTCAACCAGGACATCGGAGGGTAAACAGAAACTGGTTCTCCTTCGGCCGGCGAGCGCTGCGGCGGGCGCGAGGCGTCCCTCCATTCGGACGCGTCTCCGGCGGCCCCTCCCGCGCCCTGGCGGCTCTGTCCCCACGCGCGCTGTAAGCGGCGTCGGCAGCCGCCTCCCCCCGCCGCCGCCGCCGTCCCTCGCTCCCCGGCGCTTCCCAAGGAGGAGGAAACAGGTCGGACCCTGCGGTGGCGGCGTCGGCGGGCCAGGCGGGGGGCTGCGGGCGGGGGGCGGGGAGCCTGATTGGCAAGTATGCCGAGTCATGGCCCGGGTGGGCGGGCCGCGGCGGCCTTCGTGCCTCCCTTCCCACGTCGGCGTCGGTCGGCCCGTCATGCCCGTCATCCCGCGCGCCGCGCCCGCCGCCCTCGCTGTCAGCGCCGCCTCCCCGCCCCCGGCCGGAGGGAGGCGCGGGCTCCCTCCCTCGCCTCTTTCTCTTCCTCGTCTTCCTCGGCCCCTGCTCGTCTCCTCCTCCTTCTCCCCTTTCTTTTCTTCCTTTTGCTTTAGAGACGTCTGTATCGCCGCGCGCCACTTGCTTCCTGTGCCCTTCGCCCTCCCCCTCGTCCAGTTTTTCTCCCCCTTTTTTCTCCCTTTCCTCTCTATTCAGCGCGCTCCTGCGGGACGGGGCGGCTGGAAGCGGTCGCGTCCACTCGTCCTCCTTGCTTGAATGTTCATTAATAGACGGGGAAATTTGTTCGCCTTCGCCGGAACCGGCCGCTGAAAGGGCGGCGGGCAGGGGGGGCGAGGGGGCGGAGGGAGGGCCGGAAGGGGCGGCTGGGGGCCCGGGCTCGTCCTGTGGACTCACCCCCGAGGTGGTCGCCGCCGCCCCAGCGCTTGCGCTCGCGGCCCCGGACTTTCCCACGTCTGCGTCGAGCGCGTTCGACGGCGAGAGCGCCGGGGTCGGGGATGCGCCGCGGGCACGATGCTCTGCGGTTTCATCCCGAGGTGACGGGGACGCTGGCGACGACCGCAGACTCCGCCCGGGTCCTCACCCTGCCAGCCCCCAGGACGACTCGCCGCGGGTCCTCCCCCGAGCCAGGGCTCCCTTCACCTGCTGCGCCCGAGCGCAACAGCGTCTCTGGCGGCTCTCCCGAGGCCAGGGCGGCCGCGGCTTCCTCCTGCTCCGTGTCAACGACCGACGCCTGTCCCGCGTCGGTCGTGACGGCGTCACGGGGAACGGCGTCTGGCGTGACCGAGCCGGCTACGCTCTCCCCGGGGGCCATCCGACGCACCTGCGTGACACTGGGCGTGACCCCCCCGCCGGGGCCGGCGTCTGGGGTCACCGCCGCGCCAGTCGTCTCCTTCGAACCGGAGTTCCCCGAGGCGTTCTCACCCTCGTCATCGTCGTCCGGAGACGCGCTCCAGGGACTGCTGGCTTTGACTCCGGATTCGTCGCGAACCAAGGATGTCTCGAACGAGTTTTTCCGGCGTCTTGTGCTTCCGGTGTCAAGCGCGTCACGCCCTTGGTGCTCACGGCTATGAATTCGTTCCGTCGGGGCGCCGCCTCCACCGCCGGGATCCTCTCCCGCCTCATGGCCGTCCTCCTCCTCTTCCAAGCGCTCGCCGCTGCCTCTGCCTCCCGCCGGCTCCTCCGCCAGAACTGGCTTCGTGCGAGCGCCGCCTGCAGTCTTGCCGACTCTCCCCGGGGCGGCGTGTCGGGGGGCCTCCGCCGGGTCTCGCGGCCAAGGGGGCGTCCCTTCGCCCGCGAGGTAGTCGTAGTCTCTCATCTCCCGCTCCTCGTCCCCGCCACGGCCTCGGTCGCCGCCTCTTGTTCTGCCTTCATGGCCGCCAGAGGGCTTCCGGTCGCCATGCCCTTCACCCCCGAGTGGCAGGGGCTGCCGATGGAGTTGGGCGAGCTGCAGACGTCCTTCTTGCGCCCACGGATCAACCGAGCGACGCGACCGC